TTTTTTTTTTTTTTTTTTTTTTTTTTTTGGTCCCGGGGATTGAATTCAGGACCTTGCGCTTTCAAAGCAGGAGGCAGAGCTAAATCCCTGGCCCAACTGATATTTTTTGACACATGAAAATTGCGTGAAATGTAAATTTCGGTGTTCAAAATTAAAATTTTATTGAAATACAACCATCCTCGTATGTTTAATGCCTGTAGCTGTTTCCACACTACAATGGCAGTGTAGAGGAGCTGTGACAGGTACTGTATTGTTGCAAGATCTAAAATGTTTACTATCTGTCCCATTACAGAAAAAGGTTTGCTGATTCCTGCTTAGTATAACTAATAGACAGATCTTCTGAAGAGTTAAGATTTAATCAGTGAGTCCTACAGTGGCCATACTGGGGCTTTTAAGGTTTGTATTGCTTCTTAAACCACGTGGGAAATGGTAGAAACGGTGTTGTGACACAATTGTTTAAAGCTACATGTGATTAAATATCTCAAAATACTCAAGGGCTTCTTTTCAGACTGTAGGAGAGCTATGATGAGCAAAATTCATTTTAGGTAGGAAATTTTAGGTAGGAAGCACTAGGCAGGAAGGTGGCACCTTTAGTCTCACATAGCACCACAGTTACATCAACCGAGTGTAATAATGAACTGCACGGAGCTGCTTAGAGGAACTGAGAGAAACTGTTGTTTGTTACTAGATACGAGATACACTCATGGTATGCATATGCATTTCAGAGCCTGATTCTCCTTTCTTTCCAAGACTTGTTTCCTAGCTGAGCACTGGGGTGCCTGTCTTCGGTGAAAACTGGTGGCCGTGGAGTCAGGGTACTTGATGGCAGCTCAACCAACAGAAGGGCCCCAGGCACTTCTGTGGTGCTCTGTCCCCTGGATGGATGGATGGATGGATGGATGGATGGATGGATGGATGGATGGATATGCTTTCCTGGAGTCAGGCCCAAATGTAAACAGTCACTCTGCTTTGAAATTAAAATTAAATTTTCATTTAATGTCTTAGACCTTGGTGCAAGTCACCCCTACTTCATTCAGATTCTATCTATGGGGCACTATTAACATGTATAACACATACTTTGGCTTAAGTTTTGAAAACCCAAGAACAATCCTGAAAACTGCTTCTAACAAGTGTGAATTTTCCACCTGTTGTTTTTGTTTGTTTGTTTATTATACCTCATTAGGTGGATAGTGTCAAGATTTTCCTCCACAGTTTAGAAAAGACAACAACTTTTAAGAAATAGGTTACCCATAGTGTTAGAAAACTACTAATACGCATTTGTGCTCAAAAGTGCTTAAGAGGACAGAGGCCACGTGTGTGTGTGTGTGTGTGTGTGTTCTGTTCAGCACCTCTCCTTTTCCAGGGTAATTAATGATTGTTTATCATTTCACCAAATTCTGAACATAGGAGTACAGTAAGTTATGATGGTTTTGGCTGGGTTATAAAAATCAACTCTTGTATTTCTTCATTGATAACTGAGACTCAGTACTTCCCCAATTTTCTAAAACAGGAAAATGGAAAAATTTTGTTAAATTATGGTTTTATATTTTCCATTACCCACATTGCATTCATTAGTTTTTGAAAACCAAAGCTTCTAATACCCATTTACTTAAAAAATAAATTTAAAAAAAAGTTTGATGTGGTGACACATTCCTGTAATCCCAGCTACTCTAAAGGCTGAGATTGGCAGATCACAAGTTCAAGGCCATCCTGGGAACATGGTGAGACTGTATTTTAGAATAAATAAATAAATAAATGGGGCGGGGATTTAACTAGGTGGTTCCACCACCTGCCTCTCAAGGGCAAGGTCCTGAGTTAGATCCCAAGTACCAATAAATAAATAAATGAATAAATGTTTAAAAGTAATAATATAGTCATATTTCACTGTCATAGGTAACTACCATAAAAAGTATTTCTAACTGTTTAGCATGAAAAAATTAGTTGAAGCTATTAAGAGAAAAGAAGAATAGAAGATAATTTTAGGAGAAAAGGGGATAAACAAGGCCTGGTTTGCTATTGGATAAGAGGTAGAATTGTATACCCAATCCTCATTATTAATAAATTCCATATTTTCAAATCCCTTATACACTAGAATGTGTTTACAACTCTAAAATCAGTACTCCAAGTAATTTGTTAGTCATTCATGGATATTCAGAGTGGCTCAAAGTTCAAGTCAACTTTCATGTAAATTCAAGCTGAGTTCAAACAAAGTAATGCTCTGGCTTCTTGTTTTAGCTCTAATAGGTTAAAATAGGTTTGTGATCCACTTAGTGTCACATTTTTCACAATTTTGTGCTCTTGCTTGGTGATCTTTTGAGTAGTTTCCAAGTGCCTCAGTGCAAGGCTGTGGTGTGCCTCATGAAGAAAATATGTCTGTTAAATAAGCTTTGATTAGCTAGGAGTTACATTGCTGGTGACCGTGCGTTTAATGTTAATGAACTAACAGCATATATTAAATGAGGTGTCTTTAAACACAGACCCACATAAAACAAATTTGTTGATCAGTGGATGAAAATGTGGCCAGTGGCTCACAGGAATCTTAACTGCGCTTCTCTACCAGGAGCAATGGTTCAGTGTTCACTGATTCGTAAGAATTTTTAGAACATTACTATGAATAACAATAATCTGCAATATTTGGATTTCCTCTACTCAGGTCTGAGATTTGGGGCTTAAGTTTTTCATTCAGAAGACTCTCTGCTGTTAAAATTAAAACTAATTGTTTCTGAAGTGCTAGCAGTGATTCCTTCTAGTTCTTCAAAGATATTATACATCCCTATTTACTTATTAACGCCCTAACATGTCTCTATCACTTCTTGGCCCTTTAGCTAAAATCAGGTTATCTACCACCGTATCCCAGAAGGAGTCATAGTGAAGGCTGATCACCCAGCACAGCTGATGTCGAAAGGCTAAAGAGTGAGAAAGAAATGATGAATGGAAAGTAGCCAGAAGAGTAGTAAGTGTTTCCTCATCCCTGTCACTTCGCAGTTTTCTATCAGCTTTGGCCGAAGTCCATGCCATCTAGGGCAGCCTTTCTTTCCAATAAAGGGGCGTGAAGAGAGACGGATGTGGGTCAGATACTGATGGTAACCTTTTCATATGGGGAAGATATACCCAAGGGGCTGGAGTTGCTAATCAATGAATAATAATAATAGTGTTGAAATTGAGGGTCATCTGTTAAAATCAAGCCTAGCCTAAGGTCTGTGTGTTGTGAAATCAATGCTAACAGTACTTTGTACCTGTGCTATTATTACACAGTATCCAAAAAGAGAGAAACCTCTGGCAACCTTTGTAAGGTTATCTAAGAAAACTATTTGCATCCTTAGCAGCTAATATATCCTCAAGATAGATTCATTTTCATTCAATGAAAGGATACCTTAGGCTCCCTCTTCCACTTCCCAAATACCTGATTTTAGATCACACTGAGGCTTTTCTTGTTACGCATATGAAGTAAGGGAAATTCTTTATTTTCACGTCTGCAAAACAAAGGAAATGTTACATTTTCTTCATCGTAATGCACATGTGAAGGTATTTCCCTCAAACCAAATTCTAATTTTATCTAATTCAGTAGGACAGCTCCCAAAACTTTCTTGCTTACAATTTTAAAGTGTTGGGGCCGGTGGAGGGGGATTGAATCATTGCAGAAGATGGGAAGAAAATGAGCCGTGAGGCCTGGAAAAATGTGTGGTGACTCACAGGTATGAAGAGAAGTTGCATTCATAGTACGGAACTTTGGGAATACAAAGAAAAGTGATTGGCTCTAAGGGGTTTTTGTATTTGTTTTCTACTTTTTTGTCCTTCCTGTTAACTCACAGCTTTTAAAAAAAAAAAAAGTTAAAATTCTATAGAATCATGTCAGCAGAGCTCTCCTCTCAGTAAAATGTGGATTGGGAAAAGCTGAAAACAGCAGTGTCAGTGATAGTGACTACAATGATATATTGTAAAATTTAACCATGAAATCCTGCAAACTTTACACACTGTCTTGCCCAAGCGTTAAATACCAAAATTCTTCCTGTTTCAAAATCTGAGTCTTATCAAAAGAACTTGTACTTTCCCTTAAGCCTGCAGTCCTACACAGTGTGATTAGGAAACCCAGGAGATGTTTTTGTGTGGAATATGCTTGTAACTGTTAACTATAACCTAAAGGGGTAAAGTTTTTACTTCTTTTATCTCTCTTTCCCTACTACTCCTTACCTCAAATTTTATATATATATATCTTTTGTGTTTAACCGGTATTAAATAATAATAGTGATAGTAAGTCACAGAAATTTGGCTCAGAAATTGAATTAATCATGTTCTTCTGCTAATTTTGTGGTGGTGAGAAAATCATAAAATCTCTTTGCTTTAGTTTCCTTATTATGAACTAAGAGATGACAGGACCCAAGCGATTCTCATACGGCCACATGCACAAATATACAGTTTCTGGCCAGGCAATTTGGAAGCATAAATTCCAAACAGGAATGATACATAATGCTTTATAAAAGCTTGGCAGATTATTGCAGCTATCTCCTGCTTATAGAGTTGTCTTCTCTAGCAAGAATATAACTCCTGTTAAGTGTATGGATTTTTAATTTAAATTGGCATATTTCTGGTTAAAAAAGGAGAGAAGCCAACCAAATGTTAATTTAAGCACACTGCATTTGTACTGGGGAGAAAAGAGAGACAGGATCCTGTCTCTCCACCGTTGACATCCGTGGCAGCCACCAAGAGAAGCGGGGGGGCTACTCTCTGGTTCAGACTTGGACCTGGTGGTAACCACTGATGATCATTGTTACCTTGCTGAAGTGCTCCACAGTACTTGGGAGTATTTGTGAATTTACCATTGCATTGCATTCTGACAGCGTGCACTGTAGCTCAGAGACTGATTTAGTTCTCGCGGATTCCTGGGGGGACCTGAAGCTTAGGAAGAGTAAATGACACACTGGTGGTCCCCAGATCAATCAGTAGCAAAGAGCTCTGGGCCTCCGGGCTCTGACCCAGAGTCCTCCCACTCACCCAGCTGTTTCCTGGAGCAGACTGCAGTAGAAAGAGGTTTTTTAACTCCTTCCCTGGTGCATTGGAATGTTCTTTCTGCGCCTATGGAATAAAGGAAATTCTTCAGTTGCTTTTTGGATTATTTGATAAGGGCTTGCTCTGGTTTGATTTCTCTATTTATTGTTTGTTTTCTCAAGAAGGGGTTTTATGTGCTTTCCTCTTAAGGATTATTAAATGTTATTTGTTCAACCTTATTTTCTCTGTGTGTGTGCGTGTGTGTGTGTGTGGTACCAGGGATCGAACTTAGGTCCTTGTGCTTGAGAGGGGGGCAGTAGAACCACTGAGATAAATCCCCAGCCCTAATTTTCTAAATATAATAAAAAAGATATTTTATTTTAGGAAAATTGGAAAATACAAAAAGCACAAACAAAAGAAAAAGAAGAATCTCATTACTTAGGGAAAATCACTGTTCACTGTTCATATACCATCTTTCTTTGGTAAATTATAGTTGAAATTCCAAGTATAAATAGTTATATATTCTACTATCTTCACACAGCTTTATATGGTGTGTGCCACATGTACATGTACACCTTTTAGACTATCAACTCCTTGGTATTCCTCCAGCGAAACAGAATCAATAATAATATTCATATATATGGAATCCATTTACACAATTTAAAAGGCTGACAGATCCCAAGATCTGAGCTTGCTGAGCCAGAATCCCAAGAAGCCAGTGGTGTAGTTCTTATCCTGAGGGCCCACAGCTTTAGAATTAAGAGTCAGTGCTTCAGTTTGAGCTTGGAGCCAAGTAACTGCTGATGTTCTAGCTCAAAGGCCGGCAAGCAGGGGGAGTCCCCTCTGCCTAGGAGAGGCTCCGCCTCTGTGTTCTCAGTTCTTCAGCTGATCGGAGGAGGGCTCCCCACACTAGCAGTGGCAATCTGCTTTACTCAGTCTACCAATTTAATGTCAGGCATTGAACTTATCCCAAAACACACTGGAAGCAACACCCAGAATAATATTAGACCAAGAATCTGGGCACCCTGTGGTCTACTCAAGATAGCACATAAACTTACCATCATGCCTGTATTACTGTTCCACCTTCATCTGCTTGTGGATCCTACCCGGCAGCTACAGGTGATTACAGGAAATGACAGCAAAGATTCTTCTTCTTTACAACAATAACTGTTTCTGGTGGTTTCGCCACTGCTGCGCATTATTCACAACCAGAATGCAGGTCTAAAAAATAGGAACTAGGTTATGTGTAATTAGATCTTAAAACCAGCGCATAAAAGGCCAGTCACTACTCGTATTTCTTACAGAGAAGTAATGGTGTCATTCCACATCTAACCAATCATTTTACCTCCAGTAGGGAAATGCATCCATGCACTCTGAATCAGGGTGCCACAAAAGCAGCTCACCTGGCCTTACTGTGTCTCACACAGTGCATCAAGGGAGCGGACCTGGTAAGCAGGACAAGAAGGTCTTAGTTAAAGTATGATATCCCTCTTTTCTGTACTTACAGACTGACCTGAATTGATGAGAAAATGTGAATTGCTTTTCCCTGAAGTATCATGTCTCCTTATCCACGCGCTCCATCATGTATTCATTCTTTTTTCATTTTTTGTCAACAGTCCTCTGCAGGTCGTCATAAAGAGAGTATGTTCATATAACAAACTGGGATGGAATTAGAAATGCTTTGTTTTAGAGATGCTTGCTAGCCATTATTAGGTTAAGAGTTCAAATTCCTTGTTCACTTGTTAATGTTCCTAAATGACTTCTAGATAGGAGTGCGTGATTTCAAGTTGGAAAGAAACACAAAAGATTTTTCAAAGTTCAAAGGGAAAAATAGGTAACCATCAAACAGCAGGAAGAATATTAGAGTGCTTAAAAGTTAAATCAGACACAAAGTTTGTATTTCTAGTAGGAAGTCTGTATCAGCCCTGTGATTGTGTGACTCATTCTAGATGCCAAAATTAGTCAAGATAGTGAATTCAATGAGTCAGCAAATATTTTAAAGTGACCATTATATGCCTTGCACTCAGAAAAAGCAGTGGGTCTTAATATTGTAAGAAAAGAAGGCAGAAAGGGGGTATCAGGTAGAGGACAGGTCTTTTTTGAAACATGTCTTTTAATGCAGTCCTTCCCAGTGACTGCATTGTCATTAGAGAAGATTGCTCATGTAAAGAAACTGCATATGTTTCTGTAGTTTCAAAAATAACGCAGTGTACTGAAGCAGAGTGGAGCTTTATTCCTTGAAACTAATAAAATAGGCTTATGGGAGTTAGAAAGAAATAAAGAGAATGACTTTACAATCATTTGTAGATACACAAGTATCTTTAAATGGTCCTTTTACTCTGTTTAATGAAAATATCAAAAACTCTACTGGAATGGGTAATTCACCTAGGAACTCATCTTCATTATTTGTGTAATTTTTAATTTTCCCAGCTTTCAGTTTCATGTATATCAAGACCACTTAAGGGCTCTACAAAGATACTGAAGAGAATGCCATGTTTACAGCACAGAGCTCTGTTATTGAATCCACTGTAGCGCTCATCATCTTAGTCCCGTTCGTGAACAGACCCTGTGGAGACATCAGTCAGCCTTGTTCACTTGCACACCCACTGTCATCATGGCTTAGCTTTGGCTACATTCTCTCCTCTGGTAGACAGGACATGTATTTCACATCACCGTGAAAGGAGAATTTAATAAAAACACGAGGTAGTGTACCCTGGCTTCTTTCAAGCATCCAGACTCTTATGACCCCGATATCCAACAGTTGTAACTGTTCCTTCAGCTTATCCCCATTTTCCTTTAGGAAGCCACACATTTCTCCCTAGCAGACCTATAAACTCTAAGTGGGCCTTGTGCTGAGCACTGTTTAAACAAAGTGAAAGAAGCACCTGGTTTTTAAAATGTTGGGATCAGTAGATGAAAAGTGGAAGGGTATAAACTCAGTTTGATTCTCCCTTTTGTTAGGAAAGT